GAAAGAGGGGAACCCCGGGTATAGTGGCCAGTAGCATGGACAACCTTGTGGAGGCTGTTAGCAAACAAAGCAGGGAGTTGAAAATCACCCAATATGTTGTGACAGGAAGGGGCGAGAACACTGTTGGGGATTGTCTTGCGAGGTTTATGAACACACCAGGATTGGAGGTGGGTGGTCCGTTATTTTCGTTTGCATGCTCGCTAATGGATTCACCGGACAACCGCGACCTCATGATGGGCCTCCCCCCTGATTGCATTGTTGCGTGGTTAAAAGAGAAACATGCCATATGTCATCCAACTGTTGTCAGTGGAACCCGCGGTGTGTCTTTATTTGGGCCGGATGGAGTGCTTGACCTTAATTAAAGCTTGGAATTATATGTAATAAGTCACACGTGCATTTACCTGGGGTATAAGAAACACATCCATTGACATTACTTGTTCCACACCATTATAAGGACACATGTTAACATTTCTTGTTCCACTACACACCACAGAAATGGGTTCCTCGATGTCAACTGCCACTTCTTCATGGCCACGAAGGATGTGTGCATGTGGCTTTGGACACTGCTTTGTAAAGATTTCTAGATCTAACAAAAACCCAGGTCGTGCATACTATGTTTGCCCTAGTCCAACGGTGCGTATTACCGCTATTCAATGCATGTACTCCTGTACTTGTCATTTACGGTTATGTCATAAATAAATGACTCTAACTACTGAACTTGTGTATGCCAGAAATGTGTTTCATGGGTAGGTTGGTGTGACGAGTTTCGCGGAGAAAGGGTTGCTAATGACCTCCCTCCGAATGACGTCGATCTGGGGTTACGTAGTGACGTTGATCGCATAGATCAGAGCCTACGTTTGCTTTGGACAGTCGTCGGTGCGTTGAGCGTCATAGTGATTGCCTTGTTGTTTCGTATGTGAGTCATGCTCATTTTGTGGGTTTCTGTATTATTTTCAAGACCGGACACCCTGACGTTGGACGTAGTTATATGTGTAACTTGCATATTATGCCTCTTTCACCGTATTAGACATGTTGATGCAATGCATTTTGAACTTTTGTATCAATGTACGTATTGTCATATTCAGGAAAGCTTATTTTTTGTTGTCTACAACCACAGCTACGTTGTTGTACTGTAAACAAATTAACTAATTGCATTGCATGCGTTGTTGTATTGCTACTTCCATACATGTAATTAATTGTTTTGCGCTGCATGCTCATTTTCTTGTGAACTACACTTATGACCCACTCGTAGTGTGATGGCAACCACTCGTACTTCACCCCGTACCCCTTCAAAAACACATGGCAAGGGTGTGACATCAAGCCAAAAGTCACCTGTCCACAAATGCACTTGGGATAGTGACAACACTAAGCTGTACCTACAACTTGTCCTTGATGAAATGAAGAAAGGTAACCGACAACTATGTGCCTTATCTAGCACTGGGTGTAAGAATATTGCCAACAAGTTCTATGAGAAAACCGGAATGCGACATTCGGCCAAACAAATTTCTTTTTTTTTTTGGTTGAATTTGTTATACAGCATCAATGGATCCGCAAGAGGGTAGTAGCGCGAGTGTTGTGTGCAATGGCCAAATTAATACGTGGATACGCGAGACAATCGGGAAGATGGAAATGACAACATCAATGATATGGCTAGAAATTGCACGCGTGGCCAATGAGTACGCATACGTTGACAGGACTCCATTTCACACATCTGCGTTGACTGGGAGATTATGGATGCAGGAGATGCTTACAGGTCGAGAAGAAGCGTTTCAGCGTAATTTTAGGATGCCAAGGGATGTGTTCATAAAATTGTGTAACACATTAGTAGCCGATTTTGGTCTCGAACTCCCGCAGCATCCGCATGGTATTGATGTAGTTGAGAGTGTGGGGATGTTTATATACGTGTTGCGAGGCTTCCCAAGTTGGGATATTGAAGACCGCTTCCAACACTCAGGGGAGACAGTGTGGCGTCATTTTAAGCGTGTTCTTAGAGCAATGAAGGAATTTACACGAGCCCACTGCCAACCGACGAGGCCTCAAAATAGTAGACATCCATATTTGGAGTCACAACCGAAAGCGTTTCAGCGTAATTTTAGGATGCCAAGGGATGTGTTCATAAAATTGTGTAGCACATTAGTAGCCGATTTTGGTCTCGAACTCCCGCAGCGTCCGCATGGTATTGATGTAGTTGAGAGCGTGGGGATGTTTATATACGTGTTGCGAGGCTTCCCAAGTTGGGATATTGAAGACCGCTTCCAACACTCAGGGGAGACAGTGTGGCGTCATTTTAAGCGTGTTCTTAGAGCAATGAAGGAATTTACACGAGCCCACTGCCAACCGACGAGGCCTTAAAATAGTAGACATCCATATTTGGAGTCACAACCGAAATATTTGCCATTCAGGGTGAGGTGTAAAATGTTCGTTAATTTGCCATGTGTCAAAATAGTTGTGTATGTCCAAAATGTAATTTTACTAGTCCCTTATGCCATATTTGCATTATGTGAGCACGCAGGACTGTATTGGGGCGTTGGATGGGACACATGTGGAGGCAAATTTGAAGCCGCGTGAGGCACCGCCATATTTTGGTCGTAAAGGATGACACACGCAAAATATCCTTGCAATTTGCGATTTTGACTTGTGTTTTACTTTTATCTCCTGCGGCTGGGAGGGTAGTATGCATGACAGTAGAGTGTTTAACGAAGTTACCCAAGATCCGGTGAAAAAATTCCCATACCCAGTAGATTGTAAAATGAAGTGGCACTGTTCAATATCATGATTGATTTATTGTCTTTTTATTAACTAAGGTTCCTAATTAAAATTATTTGGACACACATAGGAAAGTATTACCTTGTTGATGTAGGGTACAAGAATCAGAAAGGCTTTCTTGCACCGTTTAAGGGATGTCGGTATCACCAAGAACAGTTCCGTGTGACTGGACGAGCACGTAACGCGAACGAAGTTTTTAATACAGTGCACTCCTCGTTAAGGAGTGCAATTGAACGTACATTCGGAGTGTGGAAAGCGCGCTGGGGTTTTCTACATAACATGCCTCGGTATGATTTCGGAAAAGTGCAAGTTCCATTGGTTGGGGCTTCAATGGCACTGCATAATTTCATTCGCCGTAACTCAAACAAAGATGAAGCATTCAACAGGGTTGCTAATACGGAACATTTTATTTTTAACGACATGCCCAACGCAACGGGTGTTGGTGATGATGATGAGCTTGATCCAGCGGGTGATGATGATATAGAAATGAATGAATTTAGAAAATCTATTAGAAATGTGTTGGTGCAAAATCGCCATGAGCTACGGCTGTAATTAATCTTTACGAATAATATATATGGTTACATATGAGGAGTTATTTTGGCCCAGTGAATTTTTATTTGTATTTTTCTTTTTATTTTTATGATGATTTATATATACAATTTTTATTTTTTATTTACATATGAGGAGTTACTTTTGTTCTAAAACCCATTTGGGAAGCTGGAAGCTGAATATCATAAGACAATGGTTTTTTTTATTTATTTTTTATTTTTTATTTTGAACAAATTTTTATACAATTTGTATGTTTATTTTTATGGAAGACATTTAAAGGTAAAAATAAAATATTTTGGGTATTTTTTATTTTATTTTATTTATTATTATTTTTTTTAAAAAAAAACCTTGCATATCCATGATATGTACATGTCACAGTGTACAAGTTTCCCAGATGCACAATCCATTTTATTCACTTAAGGAGCTAGACATGAGAGTAGGTCAAATTCCGTAATTTGCAAATGGGAAGAGGGTATTTTGGTCATTTTACATTATTTTTAATGATATGACAACATTAAAAATTATTAAATAAAAAAGTCAAAAAGTCACTTTTTACCAACTTCTCAAATCATTTATCTAAAAAAGCTAAAAGCTTGGTTAAAAGCCAAAAAATCACTTTTTATCAACTTCCCAAAACAAAATATATCTTTTTATGTGCTTTTAATATTGAAACTTCTCTTCAACAGATTTCAGGCTCAAATTTCTAGTGCAGTTTGGTAGTTTTAAATAGAAATAAAAATATAATTAAAAAAATTAGGGATGTAATGAGCGATTTTTGTTATGTAAATAAAGTTAAGCTTCTTTTTTTTTTTTAGGCAGTGACTTTGGTCCAGTCTAAGATCGGATTAGACCGTGTTGTTAGGCTTGTGGGGGCCCACCATAGGTCCTATTTTGATAATCCGAACCGTTCAATGTGTAAAACTCGTCGAGTACTATATGTCTGTAAAAAATCACGTTGATCGGATATCGATAACTATGTGAACAAAATATTTTTTTATCAACCGTTAATTGTTTCACCGTCCATTTTTTTTTATACAAAATTGATTTGATCACATAGTTATTGATATCCGATCAACGTGATTTCTTACAAGCACGTAGTACTCAACGAGTTCTACACATTGAGTGGTTCGGATTATCAAAACGGGCCCAAAATGGGCCCTATGGACCGAACTGAATGGATCCAGTCTTGATCTCAACTTGAGACAAGCTGAACCATTTTTTTTAATAATTCCTTTTTAGATTTTTACACTATTTCTAATTCTATCTTTGTCCTCTAAATTCTAACCCTAGCCAGGGTATTGGCTTGTTGGCCCATTTCAAGGGAAGCTTATTGCAGGTTTTATTAACCAAATTTATTTATCTACAAGTCTTTTATTCATTTTTTACTTGTCAATATTCTTAAAAGTGATGAGGCAAAAAAACAATTTAAGATATCTTGACTCATAGTGTAAATGACTTATAAATATTTAAATCCATCACATAAAACATAAAACTGACCCGTAATTTACCTTTATTTTTATTTTTTTCAATTTTATTTTTTGAGTTTGAAAAAGAGATGCTATAACACAAAGTTGGGCCAATTTCTAAGGCCCATTTAATTAACGGGCTGAGTTTGGAATTTAGATGTGTGTCTAGTCCAGCCCAGCAACAATATATTTATTTTATTTTTTATTTATACAGTATACTGAAGATCGTTCAAAAAAAAAAAAAATCTTCTGAAGAAAAATACTATAGGAGTATAAAATCTTCTAGGGTTCCATAATTTCCATCTTTCTCGTCTCTCTCTGCGCGCCTCCTCAGCAGCAGCTTGTAGCTCCATCCTCGCCTTCGATTAGATCGGTAAGTCTGATCATTTCTGATATCTTCTTCTTCTTCTTCTTCTTATGTCATTTGAAAAAAATCGAAAATTTTCTTTGAAAAAAAGAAAGATTGAACTTTTAATTTGTAGAAATTTGATGTAGTATGACTTATCGTTTTTATTTGATGTAGTAACTGTCTGTTTGAAGAATTTTAACTGATAGGGTTAGTCAAGCAATGCGAGTAAATAATATACAAGTTGTCTAGGAATTTAGAATTGAAATCATTGCAGTTATATGCATGTTTGTGTGTATCAATAGCATCTGTACTATATTATATAAAGCACACAACTTTTTGAAGCTTTGTCTCAGTTTTTTGAATACCTAAAATACTTCTAATCCAATAGCTCTTCTGTTTTAAACCTCTGTAAGTTTTTCAGATTTAACTGATTCAAACTTAAATAAATTCCATGGTTGTTTTAAATTGCACATGCTCAGTGTGTGCCCACACCTCTAGGATATGCATATGTATATGGTTGAGCTCATGAGCTTCATCATCACAGCCCTTGGTTAGTTTCTCTCATTTTATTTCTGGTAATGTCAAATGAATTATCACTTAGTTTCGTCTTCACAGCCCGTGGTTAGGTGTGTGAAACTAGGTGAATTGCAGTTATATTTTATTTACATTTCACAGCGTAAGTATCTTGCTCTTAGGTTGATCTCTGATTCTACTCCAATGAAACGTTTGATTTATCCCAATTGTTAATACTAGATCTGTCAAAATGTACACTTCAAGGAAGAAGATCCACAAAGATAAGGATGCTGAACCCACTGAATTCGAGGAGACAGTTGCACAGGTCATTTTCTCTGTTGTTGAAGATATCTTTACGGCCTTTGTCCATAAGTATCTTGCAGCGTGAAAGAGCATATGATGAACTTTCCAAACCTTGTTCTCTTTGCAGGCACTATTTGATTTGGAAAATACGAACCTGGAGCTTAAAAGTGATTTGAAAGACCTTTACATTAACTCTGCAGTGTAAGGATTTTACTGTATGGTTAATATGTTCGACAATTTTTAATGATATGGGCTCGTTATAATGATAAACTATTCTCTCTTTGCAGTCAAATTGATGTGTCTGGAAATCGCAAAGCTGTTGTTATTCATGTTCCCTATAGATTGAGGAAAGCATTTCGCAAGATTCATCTTAGGCTAGTCAGAGAACTTGAGAAGAAGTTCAGTGGGAAGGTAAGCTTCATATGTATAAAATTGTGTTTCCAACTGTAAATCTTATTTGTTATGACCAAACGATTGCCAATTTTGTTTTTGCTTATGGTTGATATACCAATGGAGGTTTAGAAGACCCATCATTCCCAAGCATAATAGTATATCATATCCAAAAACTTATTTATGAAGAGAATACCTGATTTCTTCCTGTACTTGGAAATGTTTTGGTTGTCTTGATCAGTTGGAATGTTACTTCTGTATATACCTCATGTTATGCTTTTACTTATCTTCGTTTCTTATCTACTCAACAATTTCAACTTCCTAGAAAATTGTTCCCAATCATCATCTGGATATATCAGGTCCTTTATGGGTCCTACTTTAATTGCTTTGCTGAAAGCATTAAAAGAAGATTATTATAAAATCTGATTTTTCTAATCTTTGTTTGAGAATTTTTTTCCAACCGTGTCACTTAGATGAATTATGAATCATTGAAATGGAATTTTAAAGTCAACAAATCAAGATGATCTTTGTGTGTTTTATCAATTTAACTTACAAAAAAGCATTGTTCAATCAATTCAGTTAGAACTTATCACGCGTTGAGTAGTCCATCTCTAGTATTCATGTAGTGAGACTTCGGATGAATGAATTTTGTGGGATCTGGATACTGAATTTGAGTGTTTTTGTTTGATTCAAGTATTTGTTTTCTCTGTTTTGTCCTTGTTTTAAACTAGTTTGTTGTTGAAACGGCCAATCAAGATTCATTCACTGACATGTAATTACCAGCTAGAAGCCTACATCATCAATGTTTTGCTTATTGGTAGACCATTTCTTCCAGGCTATTCTGAATGTTATTTGTCACAAAATGAATCCATCGGCTGGGGATTTTCTGCCGGGCGGCGATGTATACTACCGGTCGGCAAAAAATGCCTGCAGAACCTGCAACTCACAGCAGCAGAGGACAGAACTTGCATGGCAATACAATCAAACAATGTATGCACCAATTATGCCCTCTATCATGTTTATGGCTCAAAGGGGCATGTGTCTCGATTCTCGGACCGCCAATCACGCATTTCCATGCATGACGGCCCAAAGGATCAAGTGTGCAACTTTCATGTCAAATTAAATGCAAACCAAACAAACAAACCAAGGCACAATTCCTATCACCAAGTCAAGGAATAAGGAATGCATGCAAGATGCAATGCAACCTAGGCATACATGCTAAGGATGCAACATGGCATGGCAACACACTTATGCAAGCATACAAGCAAACATGAGGCAATGCAAATTTATGAAAAGGTGGACTTATACATGATTTAGGCAACCCTAAATAGGCCTAAAACAGTGGCCAAAGTGACCAAAATAAAGGACCAAATACACATGCACACATGTACATGATTAACGGCCAACACTTAGGCACAAATGGGACAACTCTCAAGCACGTGGACTTATACATGATTTAGGCAACCCTAAATAGGCCTAAAACAGTGGCCAAAGTGACCAAAATAAAGGACTAAACACATACACACATGCACATGTTAAGGGTCAACACTTAAGCACAAATGGGGCAACTCTCAAACACATTTGAAAGAAGGTAATCATGGACATATGTCATGCAAAGTAAGCATTGAAAATCATGTTAGAACATGGTGCCAAACCAAGCAACAAGTCAAGCTAAGCATGCAACAAATAGCCCAAGTGCTTGAAGCAAGTCAAAGGGGCTTGAACCATGACCAAGCCAACCAAGCCTCACAAGGCTAAGGGGACTTAAAATAGGTTTAAGGCAGACCTAGACCATGCAAAGGGGAATCTTAGATGGCATCTAAGTGGCTCAAAATCAAAAGTATACACAAAGGCCAAAACATGGGGCATGCAAGTCAAGCTTCCAAAGCTTCAAAGAGGTGTCCAAGGCAAACATACAAGCATGCTATAAGGTCTGAAATTATGCTAAAAATGATGCCAAATCGTTAGAATAAAGCAAATAGTGCATGCTACAAACTCACACACTTGAGGCCAACAAGCCAAAATGCAAAGGGGACATATAATGCGTGCCATGGCCGACCTAAACAACTATGGACAGACCTCTAGCATGGCAAAATAAGCACACAAGCTTCACAAAACGAGACCTAAAACATGCTCGAGCAAAGGCTAACAACCTAAGGCATATTAAGGCAATAACAAGGCATTACATGGTAGGTATGCTAAGCATGCATGGTGTACCAAAACCAACACACAACAAGGTTATATCATGGCATAATAAGCATGGAAAACAACCAAGACATGATCAATACACACTCTAACATGATTATAGACTAGATTGCCTAATTTGGAAACAAGCATTGCATATCCGTTTGTTTTGAAAAGCGCTTTGGAATTTGCTACTCGCAAGTAGGCTAAAATACGGATTTCAACGAGTTTTTCCAACTCAAACAATCCAACCTTCACCCACAGGCATTCAAACAGTTTATCTCATATAAGCACTTAGCCACATGGTAAGCATACTGTCATGACA